GATCCAGAGATGCCAGCTATGCTTTCCTGGGCCGCTGAGAGGGTAGGGCTCGAGTGGAAACCTCCACCGCGTCAAGAGCCATGGAGGTTGGACGATTGGTTCCTCGGGGTGGCTCGTCGCCGAGGGCGACCCCCTGCGTCCGCCCCTGCTCCCGCGCCGCATCCGCAGCAGCCTCGAGCAAGCGGCGCCGTGGAGCTGGGTGTAGGCAGGCCGCGCCACCCGTCCAGGCCCCCGTCAAACCTGGCGGTAAGCGGAAGAGCAAGAGGCCCCAGGACGGGCGACCCAGAGAGGGAGGAAGCTGCTCTTTGGGGGATGGTGAATGCACCTCTCCCTCACCCGGAGGAGGGCCGGGTGGAGAATCTGGTTTCCAAAAATCTCGACAAGAGAGAAGTTTTCTCTGTCTCTGGGTGAGGGCCGGGTGGATAATTTGGAAAATCTCGACGAGAGAGCGGTTTTCTCTGTCCCTGGGTCCCAGGAGGGCACGGAGAGTCGCGGACGGACCAACACCGGACCACACTCATCCTCCTCCATCAGCAGCTGGCGGTTCGAGAGCTTCAACAAAGGCTCTACTCACGCACCCTCTGCCAAACTGTGGAACCAGGTAAGCATTGCACCGCACACTCAGACCCCTCTTCGGTCCGCTCACAAGCCGCCCGAGTTGGATCCCTGCGTTCCACCTCGCTGCCCCACTGTGGGTATGGTGGTGGTTCCGTTGGTCCCGCTTGCACGGTATCTGGGTGCCTGGCTAGCGCTACCCAGCCCGTCTCGCTGGCTTCTGCGGACCATCAGCCTCGGCTATGTGATTCAGTTCGCCTGGCTTCCACCCCCAAGGTCAGTGGCATGCGCTTCACAACAGTGAAGGCGGCCGATGCTCCTGTCTTGTGTGTGGAGATCGCAGTCCTACTGGTGAAGAATGCGATAGAGCCGATCCCTCCAGCCGATATGAATAGGGGGTTTTACAGCCCCTACTTCATTGTACCCAAGAAAGGCGGTGGGTTACGACTAATCTTGGACCTGCGTGTCTTGACCGGGCCCTTCACCGGTTACCGTTCAAGATGTTTAAGCAGAAACGCATCTTCGGGTGCATCCGTCCCTGAGATTGGTTTGCAGCGATCGACCTGAAGGACGCGTACTTTCATGTGTCGTTCCTTCCGCACCACAGACCATTTCTGCGGTTCGCGTTCGAGGGACGTGCATACCAGTACAAGGTCCTGCCCTTCGGGCTGTCCCTGTCTCCCCGTGTCTTCACGAAAGTTGCGGAGGGGGCTCTTGTTCCCCTCAGAGGGGCAGGGTGTTCACATCCTCAATTATCTCGACGATTGGCTTATACTAGCACAGTCTCGGGATCAGTTGTGCGAGCACATGGACCTGGTGCTCCGGCACCTCAGCCAGTTGGGTCTTCGGGTCAACTGGGAAAAGAGCAAACTCTCCCTGACGCAGAGGATCTCTTTTCTCGGTATGGAGTTGGATTCGGTAGAACAGACAGCACGCCTCACAGAGGAATGTGCGCAGTCAGCGCTGAACTGCTTGAATTCGTTCAAGGGCAGGACAGCGGTCCCACTGAAACTATTTCAGAGGCTCCTGGGGCATATGGCAGCTGCAGCGGCAGTTACACCGCTGGGGCTGCTTCATATGAGACCGCTTCAGCACTGACTTCATGGCCGAGTCCAGAGGTGGGCGTGGTAGCGCGGCACTCACCGGGTCCAAGTTACACCAGCCTGTCGCCAAACCTTCACCCCGTGGTCAGACCTTACGTTCCTCCGGGCAGGAATGTCCCTAGAACAGGTCTCCAGGCATGCTGTGGTTTTCTCCCCGTGTCTTCACGAAAGTTGCGGAGGGGGCTCTTGTTCCCCTCAGAGGGGCAGGGTGTTCACATCCTCAATTATCTCGACGATTGGCTTATACTAGCACAGTCTCGGGATCAGTTGTGCGAGCACATGGACCTGGTGCTCCGGCACCTCAGCCAGTTGGGTCTTCGGGTCAACTGGGAAAAGAGCAGAGGATGAAACTCTCCCCGACGGAGAGGATCTCTTTTCTCGGTATGGAGTTGGATTCGGTTGAACAGACAGCAAGCCTCACAGAGAAACTTGCGCGGTCGGTGCTGAACTGCTTGAATTCCTTCAAGGGCAGGACAGCGGTCCCACTGAAACTATTTCAGAGGCTCCTGGGGCATACGGCAGCTGCAGCTACGCCGCTGGGGCTGCTTCATATGAGACCGCTTCAGCACTGACTTCATGGCCGAGTCCAGAGGTGGGCGTGGTAGCGCGGCACTCACCGGGTCCAAGTTACACCAGCCTGTCGCCAAACCTTCACCCCGTGGTCAGACCTTACGTTCCTCCGGGCAGGAATGTCCCTAGAACAGGTCTCCAGGCTTGCTGTGGTTTACACGGATGCCTCCACCACCGGCTGGGGGGCCACGTACAATGGGTACACAGTGTTGGGCAAACCTTCACCCCGTGGTCAGACGTTGCGTTGTTCTGGGCAGGAGTGCCCCTAGAACAGGGCTCCAGGCATGCTGTGGTTTACACTGATGCCTCCACCACCGGCTAGGGGGCCACGTACAACGGGCACACAGTGTCGGGGGTGTGGACAGGCCCCCAACTGCACTGGCATATCAATTGCCTAGAGTTGTAAGCGGTGCCCCTTGCCTTGAACAGTCTCAAAGGGCGCTTACGAGGCAAGCACGTGCTGGTCCTAATGGACAACACGGCGACCGTTGCGTACATCAGCCAACAAGGTGATCTGCGCTCCCGTCGCATGTCGCAACTCGCCCGCCCCCTCCTCCTTTGGAGTCGGAAGGTTCTGCGGTCACTTCGTGCCATTCACATTCCACGTCTACTCAACCGTACGGCCGACGAGCTGTCACGAGCTACGCTCCCGGTAGAATGGAGACTCCATCCCCAGAAGGTCCAGCTGATTTGGAGATGTTTCGGAGCTCTACTGACTCAGAGACGGGGCACCCTTTGGCACCCGCGTCCAGACCTCTGGAAACTTCATGTCTGGTCCCTGGACGAGACGCGGAGGTTCTTGGTGACCTACCCCAAGAGGCAGTTGACACCATCACTTCAGCGAGAGCACAGTCTACAAGACATGCTTACGCCTTGAAGTGGAACCTGTTCGTCGAGTGGTGTTCTTCTCGTCGAGAAGACCCCCGGAGATGCCCGATCAGGGTCGTGCTTTCCTTCTTGCAGCAAGGGTTGGAGCGAAGGCTGTCTCCCTCCACCCTTGACAAAGATTGCCTCCCTCGCCGCTGCGATTGCTGCTAACCATTACACCATGGAAGGGAAGTCGGTAGGGAAGCATGACCTGGTCATCAGGTTCCTTAGCGGGGCGAGAAGGTTAAATCCTCCCCGGCCCCCCTCCATACCCTCTTGGGACATGTCTCTGGTGCTTAAAACCCTACAGCAGAGCCCATTTGAGCTTTTGCAGTCAGTTGAGCTAAAGTTTCTTTCAATGAAAACTCTGCTCCTGCTTGCACTAGCCTCCATCAAGAGGGTAGGGGACCTGCACACATTTTTGGTCGACGATTCGTGCCTAGAATTTGGGCCGGCTAACTCCCAGGTAATCCTGAGGCCCCGGCCCGGCTATGTGCCCAAGGTTCCCACTACTCCCTTCAGGGATCAGGGGAATAAGGGGAAGGTCGTCTCTAAGCAGAGGATGGCCCACTGGATAGTGGGTGCCATCACCCTGGCTTATCAGGCACAGGGTGTGCCCTGCCTGCTCAGGTTGCGAGCTCACTCTACTAGAAGTGTTGCATCCTCCTGGGCGCTTGCTCGTGGCGCCTCGCTGACAGATATTTGTAGAGTAGCGGGCTGGGTGACCCCCAACACGTTCGCTAGATTCTATAGCCTTTGTGTGGAGCCAGTATCCTCCTGTGTTCTCACCTAAAATGGGTAGAGGCACTGAGAGGCCCCGGTTTAGCGTCGGCTTGCTAAAACTGCTCCAGAGTGTCCGTACTGTAGGCCTTGTCGAGCTCCTCCATTCCCTCGGCAGCCAGACATGGCTGACATGACATGACATTTCCAAGAGGGTTACAATCACCTCTAATCTTCCATATGCACCTAAACGAATGTTCATATGTGTAAGTGCTTTAGGAGATCCCAATTCGTCTGTCACGACGTGACGTCTCCATTCCATCCTTCAGGGAACGAGGGTTACATACGTAACCGAGACGTTATCTGACCAACACAAAGTATCTATGGTTGTTTGACAAAAAAGAAAAGGTTTGATAAATCATAGAAATAATTTTTTACAGTGTAGAGTCTGGTGTTAGTATGTTGTTGTGCTAAAGACACGAACGACTCGAGGCACAAAATATATATTTTTATTTTGATATTTTATAAATATATTTATTCATAGTGAAAAGATGTTCGATTTTGTTTTTTATGATTGTTAAAAAATGTGCCTTTTTTAGGAATTTGAGTATAACTTGCTTGCCTGCATGTGAGGACGATCAAAGCAGTGATATTTTAATCATTTGTGTGTGTGTGTGTGTGTTTTATAGTTATAATGCAGATAAATAATGTTTATTATATTTATAGCAAATGCAGATTTAGTTGAGTTTTTATTTTTTTTGTTTTATTTTGATATTTATATACATATTAATACTATATTTATTTATATTATTTATGGATTTATATAATATTTATATTTGTATTATTTATTTATATATTATTATTTATATCATATTTATTCATATATTATTAATTCATTGTTAACTAAAACTGAAACTTAAAAATATTTTAATTGAAATAAAGCTAAAATAAAATATAAATGAAATACATCAACTTAAAAAACTTAAATGAATCAGACATTTTGCTGTGGCAACTAAATTAACTAAAATGCATTTTACCAAAATGAAAGTACATTTGAAAACAAATGAAAGTGTGTGTGTGTGTGTGTGTTTATATATATATATATATATATATATTTCCACGACATTCTAATTTATTGAGATGCACCTGTATATATATATCCTGTATTTTTGACTTGACTCCCAGATGCCCCTACTGTTCGTATGAAGTCTGATTCTTTGTATGTGAACTTGGGAGACACAGCTGACTTACTGTGTGTCGCTGATGCCAACCCCATCACCTACAGTATGTTTTCCTGGAAGTGGATGGTGAGCGATGTCCTTGTCATTCCTGTTTTGCTTTCAGCCCGTTTCTCTTTTGCTTATTCTCATCCTTTTCCCACTATATGGTCCTTTGTTAGCTCAGCTCCCTCGCTATCTCTCTTTTTTCATCACCTCTATTTATCTCTCGCATCGCTCCTCTTTGTCTCTAACTCCCTCTTTCTCTCCGACTTCTCTTTTCCCACCATGTGTCACAGCTACTCTGTAACAGAGGTGCTATATTTCACCCTTCTAACTACGACAATGTCTCACCTTTATGCTTAATGCTTTTGGCCTAAATGGAGAAAAATAGCTTTCATTAAAGCTGCCTTTCCAAAGGCCACATTTCTCAGTGTTAGCCACAATTGGGGCCGTTTCCGACCATTTCAGTGTCTATAGTGGCCCGCGTTCTTAGTCAGTGTCTGTGATATCTCAAGCCATCCTCTTTTTCTGTCTGGTTTTATGTGCAGGTATGGGAAAATTGATGTTGGTGTGAAGTCATTACCATCTTTTGGCTTTTTCTAACTTTTTTGTTAGTGAGTTTGTGGCTTTTCTACAGGGGGGTGTGTGTGTGTGTGTGTGTGTGTGTGTTTTATATATAGGGTGAAGGGGAAGTGGATGATCTGGGAGAGGAGAGTGAAGATGAAGGCAATGGTTTGTTAACTATATATGAGGTGACCCGTGACCGGGCAGGTGTTTACCAATGTACAGCAGACAATGGCATATCGCCTCCTGGCAGCGTGGAAGGACAGCTCATCGTACGCTGTGAGTTCTGCTAGTCACACTATATTGCATAACTGTGTTAAAAAGAGATATTAACCAGAAAGTCTGGACTTTTCAGAATACACTCAGAATGGTCAATAGTATGTTCTATATAAATGCAAATAAAATTTACAGTCACGTTTGGTATCATTTGAATAGTCTCAGGGCGAGTGGTACAATGGTCTTAATCTTACAAAAGTAGACTAAAAGATAATACAGATCCTAAGAGTTAAGAGATACTTTGATTACTGTAGAGGGTAATTCCATGCAAATTACCTTCTGTTCCCATTGAGGTGCAAACCACCCAGGTCTGGGACCTGGGTTAATGCAAATTCCAATTGTTTGTACATGCCTCCATTTGGGGGATGTTTTATCTTGGTTGTGTATTTAAAGGATTGCAGCAAAAGGGTCGGGGCGATTCTGTAGCCAGAAAGCCCGTAGTATGAAGTGTGTCCACATTAGATGGAGCATGGCGCACATCAGGTGAGATTATAGATTTCTGACCAACTGCTTGACTTTAGTTAAGTTGTACTCAGTTGTGTTAACTATGGGGGGCTAGTCATAGTACTTGTCAAAACCGCTGGTTATTGTCTCAACTTTAATTAAGTTGTACGTAGTTATTAACTATCGGGGGCTAGACAAAGGGTTCTAGCAGAACCGCTGATTATTGTTTCGAGCTTTAACTACTGGTCATAACCGCGGGTTATTGTCTCAACTTTAATTAAGTTGTACGTAGTTATATTAACTATCGCGGGCTAGGCAAATAGTACTAGCATAACCGCTGATTATTGTTTTGAGCTTTAACTAAGTTGTACATGGGTAACTGTAGGGGG